AGAGTTTGTCTATTTTGTGTGCTCCACACACACACACACACATCAATTACGAATGGTCAAATCTTCTTATTGAATGTATGATGATGCACACGCTAACATTCAAATATTTGAACGCACATGAACACATACTTTATCGGTCATGCGCCGCCGCTCGTTTATCGTTCAATGAGCACTCGTATAAAGCAAGAGGAAATGTGTGTGCTTCATTGGAATGAGCTTTCACAAAAGAGCACTTAAAAGTACAACAACAAAAAATTTAACTGAAAAGTGCATTCGCATTCACTTATTCATTGATTCAGTGTGTTGATTTGTGAATTAACTGAAGCAGGTGTGTCTGCTGCCCTATGCATCAATATCTCATGATACATAGCGATATGTTATGAATATTAAAAAAAAAACGAAATTGTTACACGAAATCACTTGATATAGTACCACCTAATACACACGATACGCATACACATAAATACGTTCATTGCATAAAATCACTCGAAGAATCTACATTTCTCAGTTTCGTATATTCTATTCATTGAATTGTGACCATATGGAAAAGTAGAATTCAGCATTATGTGAACGCATCAATGTGAATGCCTGAAAATTTATGTAGTGAAGTAAATAAACTTCATGAAAATTATTCTGACACCCATCTTTCGGCAGCCAATTCGGTGGGAGTGGTTCAGTGATTGTGCATTCGAAATTGAATCGAATGTACATTTCAGGACGGCGAGTTGGACCCGAATGATGCATGGCTAATGCGTGCGGCAGGTGGTGAGGATGAACCCGATGAAAATCTCGCGGTTGCAGCCGTTGGTGCTGCACCTCGAGATGACGATCAGTTCTCGTTTGAGGTCAGTTCTTTCGAAAAAAATACATTTCAATGTTTCGTTTATGCTATTCAAATTTTCCCTTATTGTATATGCATACAAGTGTTGATTTTGGATGTCATCTCGAACCGTTGCTATGAAATCAGCCGAATAAACAGGGTTTCCAACAATCCAGTGAATCATTTGAGTGCCAGCTTGGAGCAATCGTCAATATTCACGAAAATCTCCTCGAAAATGAGTGATAATCACGGAAATAAGTCTGTTTCAGGATTCAGAACGTTTCGAAGAGGACTCATTGTGTTCGTGGATGTCCGATACTGAATCGCTCAATCAGAACTGGCGTGGATGGAGTGCGGCTCGAACTTCATCAGCACATGTTGCTCGAGGGGGTACGATATCAATTTCCATGGAAACATTAAGTCACTCATAAACCGAAGCAGTCACTCATTGACGCACCACACTCATTCTTGCACTCTCATTGTGATGTTGCTACTTGAACATCTCAAAATGCAATCATGATGTGTCAAAAATCAATTGCTTCATTTGCCCAAGATCCGAGTGTCACTGAAGGGGTTCGAAATGAATGATCCTTTTGCGGTTATCCTCCGTTGAATAGAAGAAATCGTCCCATAAGAATAGTGGAATGCATTCAGATTCGCTCATTTCGCTTCCGATTTCGATAATTTTTTTACAAAAAAACGTAAATAAACAATACAAAAGTTCAACTGAATTCGACGTTTCAGATGTGAATTATGCTGATGGTGCATGTGCAAGTTCATCATCGCATCATTCCAGTGCGCACCGTTATACGGGTGGAATCACCAGTGTTGCTGTGCCGTCCTCATCGGTGTTACCCCTAGCACACAATCGTAGCCGTCGTTCGACAACCTCATCTCCGTCAAGTAGTAATCATAATAACAATAATAATGACACCAGTCGTCGTGGTATGGACCTTGGTTTGAGTGTAGTGCGAGATGATTGTTCACCTCTTAACGCAGCTTCACCACCCAGTAGCACGTCTAAAAGAAACAGAGATGGTTGGTCTGATATCAGTCGCAAGTTTTGTTCATTACGCGATTATCTGCTCATTTTCTAGCTGCAGATGTCACTGCTCCAGGATAATATATGTTTTGCATAATATAAAAATTTATCAATTGAAAGTATGCACATCATCTCAATCGAAATACAGCGCAATAGATACATCCGTTGTATTGCTTGCTGTAATCAGAGGATACTATAAAGTCTTATCTTGTGCAAATGAGGTTGTAATTGCAGCAAAAAGCATTGCGACTGTACAGAGCTTAGCGGAGCGGGCAGCGCATTGCGCCGCAAGGTACTATTCGTTTGATGCACTCGAAGCAGCGTATCATTCGATATCGGTTGAACGACGTCGAACAGCTATCAAACGCGATGCTCGTGATCCAGAAGAGGCTGCTTTCTTGATGAATTCGGCGACGTTCACCGATCATGAGGCAATACCGGACAAATTCTTTTTGAGTATTGTAAGGTGGTGCTTTCCGGAAAGTGAAGAAGATATTCGTCTTTACAGGTAATCATTTGACGTAGGATCGATGCGTTTGTTCGTCCAGGCGATTTTTTTAGTTACTTTAAAGNCTGGAAACGACAATAACTTTCATTCGATTTCAGTTGTCTCGCTAACGGTAATGCGGATGAGTTCGGTCGTGGCGAATATTTGTATGAATCGGATGCGGTTCATGATGTCTTTCAAATAGGTTTCTTTTGAATTCTTCTGAATAAAACCACCTCTAATAATTTCTTCAATTGATTATCCTTATTTCACCAAGCACTCATTTTCAACGAAAGATTTTTATCCCAATAAACGATAGATTTTATAGTTGTTTAACTCGAATTAAGCAATGATCACTGATAATTTAAGGTTATCATCTGTCGGCTGTGGTTAACGGCCTAATCAGCGGGTCAATGAGTGCAGGCACTCTGGCCGTGCCCACATCAGCGGCTGTTCCGGCAACCGTAAAGCCTAATCGTCAATCTAAAAACATCTACAATGTTTCTGTTAGAGTTGATCGGTTTGTATTTACATCACCGAACTTTCCAAACAAACATGCAAACCTTAAATTCATCCGAAATGTTCGACGGTCTATTCACTATCATTTCGTTTCATACACGAACAGAAACGTTTAAAATCGGTGAAATTTGAGTGGAGTTAAATTGTGAAAGTTTTTAAACAACAATGAAATGAACGCAAACGATATCTCGAAAGCTTTTTGTGTGAGTTGATCAGCTGTTATTATGCCTTCGCCCCTGAATACCGTTCAACTTGAAGGTGTCGCATAGTGTCGTGCTCGTGCTCATGTGCTTTCAAAGCGTCATGGTGTCAGCATGTGGTCGCCGTTTGCTTACATCGCATTCATCGCAGTCATCAGATCGAATATCGTGTCACCATATGGGATTCAATCAACGAACTCACCAATAATAAACTCAAAAAATTCGCTCAATTCCTCATCAATGATCTACCCAGACAGGTTTTGTGTGTGTGACACATTTCGTTCGTTGTGTGTATGCTCATGATTACTAACAATAAGAACACTTTTGCATGTGCCTTCTACTGTTTTCACATCAAATTACTTAATGAAAGCAATTATTTTGTCACAATATTATTAATGAAATCGTCGTCGATGAATCAAAACCAAACATTCAACAACAATTTCAGTATCTTCCGTTAGCGCAACGTTTAATCGATCAGTTGCGGAATCCGAATTCAGAGATCAACACGGCTGTCGGCGCACCGGATCCAACCGATGGAGGTCATGAAGATGTTGCCATATGGTGTTTGGATCAACGCACACTTCACGAGAATATTCGTCGTATTCTTGTGAAATTTTGTGTCCCTTCGCCTACTGTTCATTGGTACGGATTCCTGAATAACTGTTTTTTTTTTGATTCGAGATTCTAGGATGTACATTCTTAGGCGACTGGTACTGTTTGAGAAGGGCGATTGCTGTTTTGAGAGCGTAATCCATTCTTGAGAACACGTGCGTTATCAAGAATCCAGCAGAGTTGTTCCCATTTCAATTGTCATTCAAAACGTTGACATCTTGATTGTAGCAAGCAATGAAATGAAAGGAATAAAATGAATATTTTCGGATGGATTTAACAAATGGATAATGCATTCTTGTTGCATAGGAACCATTGAATGTATAAGAATAAAAATCTGACAATGAGTGAATTTGAATGCGTTGATAAATTTAACGGTCTTAATTTCAGTGATGTGCAGTATCTGTCTTCCAATCAACCACCTGCTGCCAGTGAATGGCAGTCACTCCTTCGACCCCACCGTTCAAAAGATCCTGAAGGTTTTCATTTGCCGAACTGTGAATTATGTTATTGTGATATCTGTTAATCATTATCAATGCTCTCATAATTTATTCATTCAATTGAGCGGATGTATTCTTTCCAAGGCGATTCCAAACTCTTGTATTTGTTCCAGGATTGTGGAATCTGTTATCAATTGTTCGCGAAATGTTCAAACGTCGAGATGAGAATGCAACAAGTCTTCTGCATATCATCACTGAGGAATGTTTGGCATGCGCTCAAGTAAGTGTTGTTTGGTTAAATGGTTGTGCGCTAGGTTCTTAGTTTGTTATGGGAGGGTTCGGTTTCGAGAGGAGACGACGTATGTAAGGTGATATTGCTCTATGGTCGATGATGGTGTTTCAAGACGGGGATGACTTGTGGTTGATTATAATTGTCACAATTTCTGAGACCATTTTATTTCATCTTACTACCGACTACCTAAAAATATATTTTTCACGTTATCATAACGTTTCTGCAACAACATCTGAAAACCACATAAAGTTATAATGGAATTATGAAAGAATTTTATCATTTCAATGAATTCACGATTGAAGGTTCTGATTTGGTGGTACCAAACGGCGTTGCTGCAGTCAGGTCAGTGGTTTTTGTGCTCACCGTCAGGCAACAAATCCAGTTCGTTGATGTCAAGCCAGAATGCACCTCAGTTCAATTGTGCATCACTTTGTGATGAAATTGTGCAATTGTGGCGATTGGCTGCACTCAATCCACGGCTTTCTGAGCTGGAACGTGAACAGGTTCAAATTTTGATTCCTCTCCTCATTATTATATTTTTTTTTGTTGCAGCGATATGATCCCCTTCATCAGCAGTTTCAATTCTAGTTGCAATGTTGTCATGATCACAAAAAACCGCTCTCTTTCTCCAAATGATAAGTTCGATTATTTGAGAATTAATCCTATCGTAATAATGCTATCACAGCATTTAGATTAAACGTCCACTTTTGGTCATTTTTCTTTGTTAACGCTTCCTCAGTGATAGTGTGTGCTTATTTAAGCTGGCAAGTTTTCTGCAAATTTACCATCGTAATGCTGTCGAACGAATTTGGAAGAATATATGCAGCGCAACTACAGACGTTAGTGCGCAGGCGGTAAGTTCTTGAGTTTGTTTTGTGAATCAACCATATTGTTGTGCTCATTGAACATTTTAAAACCTGCTCTCGTCTGTGCGTTCTTGTCAATGACTCGTAATGTTTAACTTCAATCTTGACATTATTTGTTCATAGCACGTCTGTTTTTTCAGCAACCCAATGGACTGACTGCATCGGTGATCGATCATCGAGGTGAACGATTGGCGATTGAAAACGCTCGTTTCACGTTTGATCTTTTCCCTGGCTTTCTCCTTGCTCTCAAGGCGTGCTATGTCGGTTGGAACGGAATTTCAGTTGAAGGTGCCGATTCGGGTACCACCTCTGTCTTGAAACTCAATCAGGTGAGTGATATCGTTATTAGACTGAAAATTCTCCAAGCTCACATTTTACAGTGCTCTACCTTTCCCAACCACTTCTGTTCTTCGAATTAATCGAGGGCTTTGATGGAAGCCAGAATATGAATTGTTTCGCATTTGTACCGTAGAACCTCGTTTCGGTCATCCGGAAAAAACATGATAAACAATCACGAAATGGATTATCATTGAAAAGTATGCGCGACTCTGCGATTCAGGATATAATAGCGACTGATCAATTGGATTAATGAATTGAACTCAATAAGAAATAAGAAATGAGCTGAGGCTTGATGGATATCTCAACTCT